CAAGCATTGTTTGGGACATTAATAGGCTGTAATAATCCTGGCTTAGAAATATGTTCTGTTTTAGTCCTCTGACACACATCACACTGTTGTATATGCTCATGAATTAAAACTTTCATTCTTGGCCAGAAAAAATAAGACTTAATCTTCTGATAAGTAGCTTGAATACCTGAGTGACCTCCTTGAGGTGAATCATGCAAAGCCACAATTATATTCTGCCTAAGGTCCCCTTTGCTGCCCACATAAATCCTCTTTTTAAAATACAAGACTCCTTTCATTAATTTCCAGTTCTGTAGCTCATCTGGTTTAATAACCAGAATAGGGATTTTTTCTTGAGCTATAGCATCTTCTTCATAACTCTTTTCAATATCTTGTACCCAAGTAGGAGTAATATCAGTAACTACCATTTGAACAAATTCATCAGAATCCCATTGCTGTCTAGAGAGTGCATCTGCAGCTTTGTTAGACTTACCCTTCCTGTACTGAATAGTATAATCCAACCCCAATAATTTTGTAAGTCCTTTCTTCTGGATAGTTATAGTTAACTTCTGTTCAAGTAAATGCTTTAAGGGCTGATGATTTGTTTTAATGACAAAAGAACCACTCTCCAAATAATGCCTCCAATGAGAAATTGCCATCAAAATGGCCAAATACTCCTTCTAATAAATTGACATATCTGCATGCTTAGGACCCAAAGCTTTACTCAAATAGGCTATAGGCCTCCCTGCCTGAGACAAAATAGCTCCAATCCCTTTAGAACTAGCATCAGTTTCCAAAAAAAAAAATCTTCTCAAAATTAGGCAAAGCCAACACTGGAGCATTACACATAACTTCCTTCAGCTTTTCAAAAGATGTTATAGCTTCTTCAGACCAACAAACCCCATCATTTTTTCAACAAATTGGTTAAGGGCTTACTCAGTTCCCCATAACCTCTTATGAATTTTCTGTAATATCCAGTTAAACCCAAAAATCCTCTTAAAGCTTTCAAATTCTTAGGCAAAGGCCACTGTTGTATGGCTTTAATTTTGTTAGGATCTGTTGCCACCCCATCAGCTGATATTAAGTGCCCTAGATATTCCACTTGCTGCTGACTAAAAAAACACTTACTCCTTTTAGCATATAACCTGTTTTTCAACAGAACCTCTAACACAGTTCTTAGGTGTTGCTTATTCTCTATCAAGTTAGGACTGTAAATCAATATATCATCAAAAAAATACAAGAACAAACTTCCTTAAATAAGCTCCAAACAAATCATTCATCAAAGCTTGAAAAGTAGCTGGAGCATTAGTAAGGCCAAAAGGCATTACTTTAAATTCATAGTGTCATTGATGAGTCCTAAAAGCAGTTTTGTAAATATCTTCCTCCTTGATTCTAATTTGCCAATATCCATACCTCAAATCAATTTTTGAAAAGAAAGCAGTCTCATTCAACTCATCTAACAAATCCTCCACTATAGGAATAGGAAACTTATTTTTAACTGTAGCAGAATTCAGTGTCCTATAGTCCACACAAAATCTCCAAGTTTCATATTTCTTTTTAATAAGTAAACATGGAGAAGCAAAAGGACTTTTACTCACCTGAAAAATAGAAGATGACATCATTTCAGCAATCTGTTTCTCAACTTCAGCCTTATGATGATGAGCAAATCTATAAGGTCTAAGGTTTACTGGTTGTGTTCCCTGTTTAAGGATAATTGCATGGTCATGTTTCCTACTAGGAGGCATTCCCCTTGGTTCTTCAAAAACCTCTTTAAACTCTTCTAATAGGTCCTGTAAGGGTAAAGGAATTACACTATCTTTTACTTCAGCACTTAGCAAATAAATATCCCCACTCAATTCAGTGTCATTTTCTACTAACTTCTGTAATTTCTCACCTGTGATGGATCTGATTATTGGCAGCTTTTGAGACCCTTTTATAACTACAGTTTCTCCATCATTCTCAAAATTGATGGTCTTAGTTTTAAAATCCATCATTATAGGGCTGAATACTTCCATCCAATCTACCCCCAATACCATGTCACTACCTCCCAGAGATAATACTCTGAAATCATGCTGGAAATCATAGCCCTGCATCTTCCAACTCACCTTATTGCTCCTAGCGGTACTGAACAGCTTCTCCCCATTAGCTACTGTAATAACTAATGGTTGTGTATGAACCAATTCAACCCCTTCCTTGGCCCATTTTGGAGTTACAAAACTACGGGTGATGCCACTATCAATTAGCACATTAATAGGTTTACCTCTTATACAACCTTGAATCCTCAAGGTAGTATGTCCCACATTCCCGGTAATAGCATTGATAGAAATTTCCAGGGCTTCTTTAGTTTGACCTTCCACCTCTCCATTCTCTTCTTCAGTTAAATCATGTTAAGCAGATTTAGTAGGTTCCTCTTCCTCCATATAGTTCAGCTGTCTGACTTTACACTGATGCCCAGGAACAAATTTTTCTCCACATTTAAAACATAAATTGTTGGATCTTCTATGTTCTATCAGACTCTGTTTTTGATTGATATTAGGAGGAACTGACTTAGGCAAGAAATTCTTAATACCACTGTTATGTTGACTGTTTGAAGGAGTGCAAGAAAAAAATTTACTAGGAGATTTGTACTTCTTTCCTTCAATCTCATTAGCCAACTCATATAGTTTAGCTTGCCTATATGCTTCAGATAAGTTCTTAGGCTCTAGCACTTTCACTTTATGTTTTAATTCCTCCTTGAGGCCACTAATAAAACTGGACACAAAATAGTTCTCCCCCAAATGCATATTCTATTGCAAAAAATAAGGTCTTAATTCTTCAAACTTTTCTTGATACTCCTCCACACTCCCATTCTGCATTAACTTATTGAATTCCTCAATAATATCATAATAATTTCTATCACAAAATCTGTGACACAAATCAGCCTCAAATTCATGTCATGTCACCCTATACTTCTGCATAATGTAACCATCAAGCCATGTCTCAGTCTTCCCCACTAAATACATAGCAGCTATTTCCAGTTTCTGCTCCTCATGTATTCCAAACAAATTAAAAAACTTCTGGCATTTCCTGACCCAACCCCTCGGATTATTACCCTCAAACAATGGTAACTCTACTTTTGGTCTAGGTAATATAGAGCTAGGGTTCCCAAAAGGGTTTTTACAGTAGTTTCTAGTGTCAACCTGATCATCTCCTCCCCCTTGCTCTCACTAGAACTACCCATAAGCTTTTCTTCTTGCAACTTTTGATTAAAAGGTTGAGGACCAGTAAACCCCACAGGTTTAGAAGCTAAAATCCCTGGTTCATTAGGTTGAAAAGTGTACTTTTCATTCTCACTAAGAACTGTAATTAAACATGGTGCTTTACCTCCACTTTTGTTCTGTTTTTCATCTGCTGGTGGTTGGTTCTTCACTGACTTAGGTGAATCTTTTTCCTCAGCTGCTTGATTGACCAGCTGCAAGATCCTCTGCAAATACCCTCTGTTCTCAGTCATACCTTCTTCCAATGTTTGTATCCTTCCTTCCAGCTCTGCCTTCTGTCCAGCCCACCAAGATGGTAAGGTTTCCTCCTTAACCTTCACTGCTTCATGTTCTGGTACCTCTGTGGTTCCAGCTTTTTGCATTTTTCTTGTCTTTCCCAGCTTGAACAATAGATTTTTGGATCAAAAACTCAGCTCTGATTACCAATTTGTTATGATTTAGGATGATAAATTAGAAGAATTTAGGGATTTCAGAAATAGAGAGACTTAGATACAAAAATGTGCTTTCATTCATAAGATAAGAATCCCTAAGGATCGGTACAAAATTATATATGTATTGTACCAGCTGTCAAATAGCATCTCTAACAAAATAACTGCATGCTGACTCACCAACCAACATCTCTCCTAATACTGTTCTAACAGACTCAGACCCAAAATATAAGCCCAACAGTAAAATAAATTGAGTTATCATAATACCCACTAACTCCCCGCATATACCTCAGCCACCTCCCTTCTCCTAACTTCGATTCCCAATTCTTCAGAGATAACCTTAATCCCCTAGCCCCCTTTCTAATCCCTAATTTCACTCGATTCTCCCTCCAATTTCTGTTGTTGCCTCTCAATCTTCTTTTCGAAAATTCCCCCAAATCACTACGATCAAACCCTAACTTCCCTGTCATCATAACACATTGTTGATAGAACTTACACTCTACCATGTTTATTTTGTGGTAATGAACTTCTATTCGACCTATAACTATTTGCTTAGAAGATTATGGATCCATTCCGCAGGAGTCATACCTTCGTCCTTGAGAGACAAGATAGTTGGGCCGGTTATTGCCTGCCCTTGTGTTATTAGAGATTGTGACGCATAGTAGTCCCCCACAGCATGGTATAGTGAATAACCTACACGTTATTCTAATACCATCAATCATGCAATCATTGGATCCCCTCTACTTTTATAGGATTCCAGAGTTAAAGTTGTTTTTTTGTTTTAAAATTACATATTCTACTAAAATGTTATCCAAATATTTTCAGATCAGAACAATGATTTATACCCTCCCTAGTACCTGCCTATAGCTGCTTCCATTCCCTATCTAAACCCCCCCCATCCAGAACATGCTTCGATTTCCTTTTCTTTATAAGAAATAGTACAAACAAATAGAACAAGAGCGAAGACAGTTTTCCTTTTTTTTGGTCTTGTTTTTCCTTCCTTTTGCCCTCATTAACTAAGTTCACGACTAATGCATGGTCATTGAACCATGCTATCGACTGTGTGTCCTAGAGTTGGGGGAAAGCAAGAGTAAACCCAGGTTCATAACGTAAACGTTTTCAGTCATAAATATATGTAATTTGAAATTAGGTTTCTGAGACAGTAGGAATTCTAATTAACATTCAATTCGCCTTCGATACTATCAGCAATCATGACTAGTTATGGACAACCACTGGCTAGGAGACAACTGCTTGTGGAACCATAAAAGCACCAAAACAAAAAAGAAATTTGGAATACGTAACGTAACATAAAATGAAAGGGGCGGGAGATAGAGCCAGAAGGATCGAATAAAGTTGTCAAAGTCTGCCATTAAAGACCGGCCATGACATGTACAAAACACTGTGGTGGAAGATGCCTTGATTAAAATATTATTACGTCACCTAACAACCGTGTCCACCCAAAAAACTAGGGAATTCTTTGGAAGCTATCTGAGCAGTTCAAGCTGCATACAATCCTCCTTTGTTTCTGATCTGTTTCAGTCCCAAGGTGACTGATTTATGTCTGTTTCTCCCATTCGGTATAATTTCTTCTTTTGTTTCCTTCTTCCTGATCAACAGACTTAAACCACTGAGCTTTATTTTCAACTCTGCAACCCCTTAGCCTAACACTTGCTCAAATGGCCACTAGGAGTAGAGCATCCAAGCCAGGGAGGCAACTTGGAGAACTCCTCCAAGAACTGCAAGAACCTTTCATCTTAAAGGTTTACCTTTCAGAGAGAGGATGTGTGAAAAAGAAGTTAATTTCAGGAGCTAACTTTATCAACTTCAGCTGCTGCCATGGCAATTCAGGCAGGTTTTTACACAAGTCCGGTAGTCAAAACGAGTACAAGAAGGGTTCTCCACAATTTCCCAAGGTACTTAAATTTATACTACTTAACATGTTCTTTAAAATATAAGGCTTGAGAACCAGGAATTCCTATAATGATGGAAAACTTAGTGTCACGGAGATGGACATAAATAACCATGAAACATTAGATAGATTTTCCTCCGCTAGCAGCGCAACACTGTATGATTCATGCCCAGATAGCGACACAGATGAACCGCCGGTGTTTGCGGACACTTCCATTTCTGACTGGAAACTCCACGATGATAAGGAAAAGAAGGTATACAAAAACCTTAATTTATTGCTTATATGTTCCAGGACAATATTTAAAAGTTTTTTAGATCGTTACTCATAAAGCTAACAGGCTGATGCAGGTACAAATTTTGAATGGAGTTGCATGGAAGAAAATAAACAATATAGCCCTCCATCAATATTAGAAGTGTCTACTTCAACGACCTCCCCACCGTATAATCGTTAGTATCTTTAAAAGTTGCAAAGCTTTCATAGTTACTTCTTTTCATTTACAATTCGTTACTAATTCATTCCCCTGAAGTTAAAAACAGCAGGACCAATTGCCAGCAAAAGACTCTTATGGCCTAAGCTGCTAAAGCTGGACTCAATATTCTCAACTTGGCTATTGAATTTACTTCTTCAAACCAGACCACTGAAATCAAGCAGTGGGGGTTTAAAAGAACTACAAGTGCCTGATTGGTCCAACTCATCCTGGTCGTCAAAATCGAAAAGGGTTCTGCAACGAAAAAAACAGCTTCTCTTTTATTTTACTAGGGAGTCGGTAGAAATTAACCATGACAAGGAAGAGAGAGTCAAAGGGATTGAAGGGTCTGCTGAGGTGATTCGAAAGGTCAGGTGTGATACTATTAAGGGACGGGAAAAACGAATGCGGAGATGAATCAAACATTAAGCTATTGTTGGAATTAGACGTACTTAATTCAACCGAGGAATGGGGGAATGATTTTGAATCCTGGAAAATGAATATCGGGGTAGTAATTGGAAACGCCATTGTAGAGGAGATTACGAATGAATTTGTGAAGTCCTTCCTATATATAGCTAAGATGTAATTTGCTAACATGTTTCAAAATTTAATTACATTGCGTAGTTTTAATTACTACTCAGCTGTTGCTGTTGCTGTTGCTGTTGCTGTTGCTGTTGCTGTCTTGTTTAGATATGTTACTTTATAGAAATATACCTACCAAGTAGAGAAAATAATGAAGTTAGCTAGAAATTTATCTCAAGTTCAGCCAGAGTTGCTTAAAGCACTGGTTTCGTTTTTCTGGAAATAGTAATGAAATTTAACGATTGATCCACATTCCACTATCTCATCGATTATTAAAAGGTTTAAATAGGTTAGATTGTGGTAATAATTTAAAATGCTATATTTTAATTTTTACGAAATTAAGTTTATATATTATTTTTTATTCGAAAATGCCGATTTCTTTGTTGACTTTCAATGTTATTATTATTTTTTGAGCTGATAGTTATAAATATTTTTTAGTTATTTACGTTTATAAATTTTATAAATTTAATTAATTTTTTTTAAAAAAGTTGAAATCATTTGATCAATAGAACTTTTAAATCGTCGATTTTTATAGTTTGCCAACGAGTGTTGGGACAAGTGGTTGGAATTTAGGAATTTGAGTTTGTAAGGCCAAGTTCGAATCCTACCTCATTCTCGGTGAGTAATCTGTAAATTCCTATATAAATCCAAATTGGATCTTAGGTTTGACTTGGCCCTAGACTGGAAAGTCACCCCTACCAAAACTTTATTGTACCAAAAAAAGTTTATTTTTATAGTTTTAAACTGTCCAATTGATTAACCACATAAGACTAAAAGTAGGCTTGATATAAAACTATTTTTCTAAACTATACCTCATGTCTGTATTTGTATTATCGTTTTCCATGAATAGTTCCTGTCATGGTCTGAGACAAAGGAGATCTTCAATGATGAGACAATAAAGGAGTAGAATGGGTTAGTTATTTGAGTAAATGGCTGCCCGAAAGCGTCGTTCTTTGTGTCGGTAGTTTCCCATTTTGTATCTTTGAATAAATCATGGAAAGTGGAAAGAAATAACAGGTCAAATGATTTGGCAACTACTCTGAGCTTTATGAAGGAAAAAGAAATCCTTGTAGTAATCGCAGTCTATGTTAGCTTAATCTTTTTATTTCTTTGAAGTGATTCTATCTGTTATTTGCCAAGGAGACTCTTGCAGTTAAAGGTAACAGCGAGGCTTGTAGTTCTAAGCAGAGAAAAACACATCATATTTTCTAGATCATCCTTACAAAGTTTAAAAACAGAACTATCAAATACTATGTTGACCAGCACAAGTCATGCCATACATTGCAAGAAAAATTGAAGAGGAAAAAACAACTTTTGTTCCCAAACGTACTTTCGTAATATTAGACAAACAGCCTTTCCTAGTTACTTGTAACAAAGTTTAATCTCTGAATTATAGGAACAAATCAAGGCAAAGAAGTACAAATTACAAAAATTAGAAGGATTAACATGAAAATATAAGACAACTATAAAATTCTTAAATTCATGCTTCCCCATTTATCCATTTCCTCTCACAACCTAGTGACTTGGGTGCAAGTAGAGTGGATTATAGAGCAGGCAGAGAGGAAGACTGAACAGGGGTTGAACCACGGAGATTATTGCAAAGGCTAGCACTTTCATTGGTCTCGTTGTTGTCGGCTCTTGGGCTGCTTCCCGCACTGCTATTAGAAAGGGAACCGAATGTGGTCTTTTGTAAGACCCCGGTGGGAGATGATCCCAAGTGACGGCTATTATCCCAGCCCCTTTGGTTTGATTCATTCATAACACTGCCCACTCCCAAGCCCATGTGTATAGGATCGAATTCACGTGACAACCTGAGAGGTGATAGTGTTACTTTATCATTATTGGTAGAGGAAGTAAAGGACATGAAATCAGAGGCAGCCATGGGCACTGATATGGAAAGTTGGGTCCTGTCTGATTTAACATCAACCTCAGGCCAGGAAATGGCTGAACAATCAGACTGGGTTTTAGGCCACTCATCCATGAAATGGCGAAGGGAATGCTGGGTTTCAGTTTCTTGACTGGTAAGATCTTGAGAGGAACCAAAATTTCTGCACTTGATCAAGGAAGAACTCTTATGAGAAGGGTTAAGCAGTGAGTCAGAGGAAACAAATCCGAACTCGGTTCTAGAGTTTTGTTCATATGAGATCTGCTGCTTCGGGATCAAGAAAGGGTTTTCTTTAGATTTTATGTCACCGGTCAGGGATGCCATGGTGAGCCCTGGTGCACTATCATCTATTCTTTCACCAACAGTGTCTTTACTTGGAAGCAACCTGGAAGATAACCAACCGTCAATGGAATTTGAATTTATCAATGACTTCTTCCAGTAACAGGGTAATAAACAATCTATTAGAACCTTCCCTGACAGTAACTAGTAAGGTCCGTCACTGTCGGAAGTGGCAGAAGATAATTCTACAATCTACAATTATTGTTCTTTGGAAAGCAACACAAGATAAGAATAACAATGACAGCCAAGGTAAATGTTCTCAACTACAGCTTACAAACAAGGAATGAATGCTGAGGGGATGATTCTGTCACCTGTTCAGTGGAGTCGCTGCAGAAAGGTTGGATGCACTACCATGCTGTAAATTCTTGAACTGCTGTCGTGCAATGGCTAGGCTGTTGGACTGACCGCTGCCACTGGTTGGCCCTACCACTGATGTCGGGGCGGATGAAACCGTAGGCATCAGTTTGGTGGTGGCGGTGGTGGCGGCGGAATGGCCAGACTGGCCTTCCACAGGCTTTCTTGAAAGATGGCGACCCCTGTTCATATGCCGCTCGCAATACTTCTGATCTGCAACCGCATCTCTTGAACACCGGCCATTTCTTTCCATCCGTTCTACGACACCGCCCTGGCTCTGGATCGGTGTTATTTGAGAACCCAAGATGAAAAGCTCCCCATCCCACTGTCGCGATATCATTAAAAATGTAATTAAACGGATTAACAAAAGCAACAATATATAACAGTCTTGAGATGCTGAAAACACCCTAGTCAGTTAGCTAAACAGCGCTAAGTACAAAATTAAACATCCTGGTTTACCATTGATTTTAATTTTTTATCTTCAAATCATAGAAACAGGTAGGGAGAAGTTGCCTTGTCGTAAATGGGACCAAAACAAATGTGGAAACGAGCTATAGTTGAGATTTGAAGTGTCTTGACAGCGATTTTTTTATTCAAATAAATTATGATGTCAAGTAGCGCGTGTACTGCACTTTTAGGCTTAGTTGAACACTGTTTTCATATTCACAGTTTTTTTTTGGTGGGGTGGGGGGGGGGAAGATAATAGAAACCCCATAAAAGGTACTTCTTCACCAATAAGAACAGAAAGTAAAGTGCAGTACAAACTGGAGCCTCTCCCCTTCCCACTCCCAAATCATTGTGTGTGTGTGTGTGTGTGTGAGAGAGAGAGAGAGAGATTTGCTGCATCTTTTGCATCAAGAATGAAATTATACGGATATCATAGAAAAAGGAGGAAAAAATATTTCCATGTTTTTTGTTTCTTTCTCAGAGAAGAGACAACTTACATGTATTGGGTCTGAGGAGTCCACCAGAGAAAATAGAGAAATTAGCAGAATCAAGGGATTTTCTTATAGGAATGAGAAGATTAGATGGTATAGGCACATTAAAAGTTATGTATTTGTAGATCAAAGCCTGGTGTTCCAGCTCCAGCCATTGAGATGGAGTGAATGGTCCTCTAGCTCCTGTTAACACCCCGTGCATGTTTGCACCATTAAATCCCCCACAGCTATAGCCTGAAACATAAAAGTAAAACAGGAAAAAGATTGAAACAATAATGAAATGAAAGCAGAAAATCCAAAATCTCAAGGCTTTCAAAGCAGTGCAATGGAAATAAAAAAAATGTCAGTAGTTTTTAGACTTCGTGTAAAAATGGAAAATGCTAGGCAGGCCTCCTTTTGTTCCCATGCTCACTTTGATTTATTACCAAAAATACTTCTCATCCAAAACAGGAATATGAAAATAGAAAACCTCGCCTTTTTTTTTTCCTATTGACAATACTTAAAACAAAGACCGCTCATAGAATACCTTGAAAAGACCCTTCAACAGAACTCATGGAATCAAACCAGAAAACCAATAAGAAAAGCACGTCTAGTCTTTGCGTCAACCGAACATGAGACAACCATTTTACCCCTTCCATAATTTCCTCAAATGATATTTTGAATAGGAAATGATGTTAGAATCTGAGCATCTTTCGACATATGTACCTGTGTTTCTACTGTAAGCGGGTGATGTGAAGTGAAAGTAAGGGAATGCGACATTTTGAGAGCCCTTATCCACAGAGAGAGCTTCTGATTTGGGAGCAGAAAAGCTCAGCATTTGTTGCGGCTGTTGTTGTCCGTCAGAGAAGATGGAGGTATTGGATCTCAGTAAAGTCTCTCTCTGGTTCAGCAACATTGCCTTGGAGGCTGAGAAATCGTCAAACTTGACCAGTTTTGAACTGCAGTCATCCTCATTGTTGCCAGATCTCTTTTGCTTGAGGAAACCGGAGCCAGACCATTTCTGCTTCGTCTCAAGATCTGAAGCAAGAGATGTAAAACCAGTAGTAGCAGCAGTAACCTCTGAACCCACGAACCCCTCCAAACCCACCACCCCAAAATCCATAACCTACAAGACAAACTCCAGATTCAAGCAATAGAGCATCGGGTTATTACTTGTGAAGTTGAAAGTTGATCCGTTTTTAAGTGTATGATTCATAGGTCTATGGTTTAAGCTTTAGCTCAGACTCAAACTAGAACCAGAGGAATACAGACAAAATAATCGAAGACAGAGAGAGAGAAGGATAAAAAATTTGGAGGCAAAGGCGAAAACTGAGCGGGCAAAGCTATTCCTAAATCCGCTACCTATCTCTTCATCTTATACACGGTAAACCAAGAAAAAAAAGGATTTAAAAATACCGATAAGAAAACCTACGCTTGTTGTTTAAGCAAAAAAAATGACTCTTTCCATCGTAAATATTTAATTCTAAAGTCCAGCACTTTAGGTTAGCTTAATAAATTTCTCGCCTCCGTCTGGACTCCGGAGTTTATTAGATTTACCGATACCTCCTTGAAAAGCAACAAAACTTACACGGGACAGTAAAGTTTAAATATTTACAGACAGATACAGAAGGGTTTATTCGTAATTTCAAGATCATCCATTTGCAAAACTTTGACCCGACTCT